TTTCTCTAGAGAATTTTTTTTAACTAGCAATTTTTGACAATATTTTTTATAACGTTTGTAAAGTATTGTTGTCATGAGCTCAAATTTAAGAAACTATTGTGCCTGTGATTATTGTTCGTTAAGTTATGGGGGCTTAAAGATCGCCAATTTGGGACAACTAACGCGCGATATGTTTCGCGCAATTAACGCGTAAGCGGAGATTTAATCCGTCTTAGAAATATTTCGAACTTGTTTATAGCAGGCTATTTGTCATAAATGCTATGTTACTAGGAGTGAAATCTATCACTTTGTACTTTATATGGCTTGTCGGGATGATTTGATTAAAAAAACTCCAAATTTCAAAAAACAAACAGTTACACCACACACATTTTAAATTAACATTAAAATTTTATACCTTTTGAAGATATCGACGACCTGGACTCAAAATGTTAAAAATATATATAACGTGCGATCTTATCTTTTTATGTTTCGCGTGTTTGCTATTCGTCAACTTTTGTTCCGACCATTTGAAAAATCGGGAGGAACTTTGTGTTCGGGCGTGTTTTAGTTCGGAGAGAGTTGAGGGACATATCATATTTACACAAGCAAAGCAAATAATACGCGACAAAATGTGTTCGTTTTGAAAGTATTCATTTTGATCAATAACCAGCCTCTAAGTACAGCCAATGCTAAAGATATTAACACAGACGTTTATATACAAATTTAGGTTCAAGGTATCATGGATCTTTAGTGTGGAGGTAGGGAAGGAGACCCGCAACAAAATAAAAGGGTTCAAACCTGGGCAGGGTCGGATGTTTTTAATGAACTTTCTCGTATACTGGTTAAAATGCGTCCGCTCTATAAATTGAGGCATCTTAGTTGGCATTTTTTTCATTTTGACTAGTACTGCTAATGCGTCATAATTGGCTTGCGTCACTTAGCAATTTTGTAGACTAATAAATGGCGTGCTGAAAGTTTTACTCATTCAGTTTTTCCCAGTAGCGTTATTAGTCATTTTTTTAGTTTGTTCATGCGAAGTGCAACTTCGCCTCTGTGTGAAGTTCTTACAGTCGTGATTCGAACAACTGAAAAAATATTGAAAATACTTTCCCAGTGTCGCAAAAAACCGGTTTGAAATTTGGTTTTTCCTCTTAAATTGAGAGTACAAAGCGAGCGAGCACGGTTACAATCGCTCATTTTGATTGCTTAAAAACTTAGAATAGCTCAATTAAAACGTAAAAACTTAATTTTAATCGAGTAACGATAGTTTTTTTGAGTGTTTTAGCGCTTTTTTTTGGAATCAAAAACTGCAAAAAATGAAGTTTTTGAACGTCTTTTTAATATATTTTTTCTAGTTATGTTTTTGTACAAAAATTGTTTTCCAATTTGCTTATTTTACTATGACTGTCGAATATGCCTAACTTCTAGTTGTTCGTTCAGATCCCCTTATCACACCACGCCGAAAAAAAACGACTCTAATTTGAAAAAAAAGTTGTGTTTTCTAAGACTATGGTCGGAACATTAACTATGCACAGTAACGAGCTATCCTTGTTTCAGTTTGAATTATGCTCAATTTTATGCATTTTTCTGTTGCTACACGCGTAAGATCGACTAATTTGAGCGATGCGAATCAAACCAAATTTCAACGCATTAAAATAGCAGTTCGAAGCAAGCTAATGGCGAACATGCTTTGATTTTTTGAGCTTTGATTTTCATTCTTTAATAATTTTTTTTTGGTTTTGCGGTAATTTTTTGAGGAAAAATATGTTCAGTCGCTCTCTATTTCATATTTTGGCGGCTTGACTGACTCTTCATTTCTTTTTAAGCACAGCGAGTTCATTTAATAAATTAAATTGCGCTTTGCTATATCAGAAGAATCGTTAAAATAGGAACATTCATTTAAGTAAAAAGTGGGTCTTAATGAAAGTATTTTTAATGGAAAAAAATGTTAACTCAAAGTGGGTTAGTGTTATCAAAAAAGTATTAATCGTAAAAAGTTCTTCTAATTTAAATAGCTTCATGGTGATGAGGGATGCAAGGTGATTGTTACTTTTTTCCTTGTTCTTAAAGGTGATGTATAATAACAGTTTTTGCCATTGTTACTTGGCAATTACTTAGCGTATTTATAATTTAGTGAAGATTCGACATACCGCCATATCTTGAAGCCGAAATTGCATCACAATTACCATAATTGCATAACAACAGTGAGCGCCGTAGTCACCAAAGTGTTGCGTTTTTGCCAACAGAGGGTAGGCTAATAGAGAAACTTTCAAGTTTTTCGGCTTTAAGGGCCGCTAATCATAGAAAGGTTGTTTTAACTTAAGCTCGTTGACCTACTGCCATTAATTTGCAGACGCCCAGCACACCACATGTTTATTTTTACCACTATTCAATCCCTTTGTTTCAGCCTTTGGCCAGACCAGAGGTATGCTGAAAACGTTTATAAACTTTCTTATACCAAACTTCAATAATATTTAATTATCTTTTTCTTTGATGTTTTTTTTGTGAATGAGGAGGCGTTTTTTGTTAGTTTGTGAGTGAAAATCTTACTAGTTATTTATACCTTGAAAACGTCTATTGCTTAAATGATAGTTGGTTGCTGCTAAATATATCCTGAAAGCGCTTTTCATGACACAGGTAATTTTTCTTTGATATATGTTGTGTTCGAATTCTGTCTCAAAAAGAGGCTTTTTGTTCATCAGTCGACGCCACATGACCGCTTTTTTGTAGAAAATGATTTTACGAAACCAAAGTCTTTCCAGCCAATGAAAACGAGCCTTTGTTCCTTCTCAACGCTTGTGGATGTGTGTTGTGGCCGAACAAAACGTTCTTAGAATATTGTAGAGTTTATGGTACTTACTGTTTTGCTGACTAACATGCTCTGCTATGTTCAATTCTGCCGCATTCAGAGTTTTTTTGGTAGATTGCCTTTTCACGCTGATTTATTTGTTTTTATCAAATTTAGCGAAGTTTTTAATCAATGAAATGAATAAGAATGCGCCAACAGATAAGATTTGGTAGGAAAAAAATGTGATTTGAAACAATAAATATTACAATTGAAAATAGTTTTGATCAATTTTTAGCCGATTCGAAAAGAAAAAATGTCCATCCAGTGTGGTCATTTTCTCGCTGTGATGTAATAATGGATGTATTATTTTAGAGCTGTTAATGCGCGTAAATGTTTGTCAGGAACATATCAGGGAATGTTTCATGTTTAATTACGCGGAAATTTTTTCCTGCGAGTGATCTTTTGCCATTGTCAAATATGCGTTAGCGATGCTATCCTGCATGCATGGCGTGTAACTGTGTTGTTAGATTTTTTTTGTGTACAGTTCAATAAGATTGGTCATGTAGGACACTAAAATTAGTCAAAATCTGCTACCGATTTTTTAACGGGTGCAGCAAAAAGCTAATAATTTGGTCGACTTTTAAATTTACATCTTTCAGCGGTGACAGAAACCTTCAGACCATTTGCCGTTTTTTTTGCGCTCATACGTTATTTTGTCCAAACCCAAATAAGAAAATAATACTTTTTCGGGCTTGTAACTTGTTAAATAAAATCACTGAATCATTTATACCAGCACACTTATCTGGCCAATAGATATATTTTGAGCCTGTCTGCATTTCAAGCTCCGTATCGTTTTTTTTTGTTTTAAGGTTCCCTCGGCTTTTTAAATCGGCGTAGTCGTCTTGTAATGCGACGCTTGTAAGGAGATCAGAATTATTTGTTCGTGTGTTGGGAGTTGCTAAAAATTGATTACGACAAAGACTTAAGAAATTTTTTCAGTTATTTTTTCGACTCAAAGACTGTCGTCTAATTCTCTGCTGTCGGCCAGCTTGGCGCGCTATGTTTGTGATGTTTATATTCTACTCCAAATAGTTTTTCTTAAAAAAACTATAGTTTAGAAAATAATAAGTTGTCATATTTTCTCTTTGATAGAGTTCATTTATATTACTAATACTTCTGTTTACACTCGCGCGCTTTAGCGATCGTAGTGTAATAGTACAACTATTCTTTTTTTTAAAACCTAAGATGCAATTATTTGTGCCACTTTTGTTGTCACCTTTACGGCTTCTTGATAGAATGTGCTTTGAAATTCGAGTAGTAATATGCTAATACACTTGATGCATTTTTAATTCATCAAAAGAACCACAAAAAAGCTTTTTTTTTGTTTCAAACAACAGTGCAATAATAGTTACTTGATTTAGAAATTTTTCAATTCAATGTATCTCGCAATTTTTCGAAATGCATAATTTATACATACTTTGGCTTTTTGATTTCCATCTTGCTAGATGCAAAGTTAGTGTGGAGGCCTTCAGCTTATATTCCAAACTATTAGATGCAAAATTGTGTCTATTTAAGTTTGGTGTCACTGCCGCATCGCACTGGCAAGTTGTTAGCCTATGTAGCTGCTCTATTTGTGACTAGTGTTTGCCGAGAATTCAGCGTCCGTGGCAGAGAGGGCAAGGCGTGAGACTCCTAATCTCGAAGTCGCAGGCGTGAATCCGATACACAGCAAAGTTTTACTAATTAGAGCCTTATTTCTTCTTTTTCCCATTTCACTTTATAAAGCTGCTTTTTTGTCGTGTTATCACCAGTGTTTCCGAAGCGAAGTTTTGCCTCTATGTTTCATAATTACTAACACAACATTATCCAAGGGTTTTGTTCCGACCACTTCACAAAGTAACGTTTTAATGTGCTACAGCAATAGCTTTTTTAAAGCATTTTTTTCTCATTTTTGCAGATTGGCCGGAACTTTCTATGCTACTAGTGTGGCCGGAATCAGGAACTTTCTATGCTACTTGCTCAGCAACTGGCTATAGTTGTTGTTTTGAAACCAATGACCTTGATTGTATTTTCATGACACTATAAATTTTAGGAGTCTACAAACAAAGTGATTAATTAAACAGTTTTTTTTTCGTCATTTTATCCGTGTACTTTTTTTGAAGAATTCGATGAAAAAGTTCTAAATTCTAAGTTACATGTAGAAATAATGTGAACCAGAAGTGAAGATATTTACTTGCCCGATAAACGTTCCTGGATAGAAGTACCTTCGCATAAACAAAGAGATAGTTTGAAAGATAGTGTTAAAATGAACGATGTGGCTCCAGTGTCAGCACCACTTTCAAAAACAGCATAAGAGCTTTTACACTCAATTGAATGATATGATATAATATTGACGATAGCAAATTGTTAAAGTGTTTTTACAATTGCGTCGATTGAAGTGATCGGCTCTCTTTAGTACCTCTAGTTTCGTTCGTCCCGTCCGTTTGGGAAGAGGCCTTTCGAGGGGAAGCGATAATAATGAATTAATGCAGAGGAGAAGGCAAATAATGTAATGAGGATGGCTTTTTACAATTTACCCAATTAGAGATGAAATGCCAACTTGAAAAAGGGTCGCGCCATTTCGATATCTGCTGTCAGGGAATAAAGTAACGATGCGATGTATGTCACTTTTAAATTTAGAATAAAATTAAGCTCTTCGAGTGGGGGCTCGAACTGAAGTGATTGATGGAATATATGACTGAAAGAGTGCAATATTATGGGCTCTGTTTGATAGAAGAATGAGGCAACTAATAGAGTTAAAAGTGGCTTCCGATTGAAATTTGCCGCAGACAATGAGTGCAATGTTTGAGATGACAGTAAGACTATGGCGGGTAAAATTTAAAATTTATGCGTGCTTTTTACTTGATCGAATAGGCATATTATACCTGGAGTGAAGTGCGTCTAAATTTGCGTGTTAAGCTTGTCTAATCTAGCTATGCCATGAGTGAAATGAGCTGCTGGCGGCGGAGGGTTCGTTTCTTTTTCTCCAAATGATGAATGCAGCAACAGCAGAAGCAGCAGGGATAGCGCGTAGCTGGGTGCTCCCTAAAATGGGTCTATACTGGGGTGGAGTGACTTTTTAGAAATAGTGCAATATAATAATTGGCAAGGGAGTTGCGCCTTTACCCCAACTTTTTGCTCCTAATTGCGAGAAAAAATCGCTATCTTTATTCCGTTTTTTTTCTGGGTGCCAATTATTTTTTGTTGCCTCGTTATTTGAGAAAGCAGAATTTAAAATTATTTTAGCTCTGACTTTGCAGTGTTTCAACTTTCATATACCCTCTTTTTGTGTGGGGAAAAACGATCCTCCTGTAATGTTTAACTAATGGCTGGCGGTCTGAAAATTTATAAAACATGTTCGCGCAGAGCATATTAAATCGGAAATTACATATTACCTCAAATTTTAGCTTGGTTTCTATGGTCGCTATTTCTGAGTTTGGTTTATTATCCCTTTAAAATTTGTGGATATGGAAGGATATTTGCTGCTATTGGTATGCAATTTTTTTACCAAATGAAATTCAGTATTCTTTTCAAAGTTTTTTTTCCAATGCGCCGTTTTTTGATGAAATTGTAAATGGTTTCTTGAATTAGCATAATGCGATAGTTTACAGCCGCGGGGGTTGTGTCAGAATAATTTAACTACTATTGAATGTCATGTGTATTCTATGTTTTCAGTCTGAAACAAATGGTGGGCAAAATTGAATTAAGCTGCAGCGTATCTGGTTTCCACTGTCAGTTCGATTTTCCTCTGAAGTTAGCCTAATTCCAAGGGGACCTGCAGAACCGAAATGGAAGTATCTTTTTGTGCCAATCAACACGTTTCTAAGGCTTTCATTGCTTTTAAATATTACCAAACGGGCCAATAAATGATCGCTTTGATCGGCTCTGCTTTATGGACTTTTTCAGACTGACCGCACAACTATGGTTCACTTTCTTCTGAAAACAGGTTAAGGTAGAAAACTTCGGAAGAGAAAACGTAGACTGAATGTTCCGCTTATCTTTTCAGGATGTTCGCCAACGGAGGATTACGCAGAGATATGCTGTTTTTTTTTCTAGATTCCGAAAAAAACGTGATGAGTGAATTTGACAAAAAATAGTTCCTTCAGTGTTTTAATATATTTAACCTAAATTGGCATGCACTGTCACTAGATGATGCTACTTGGGTTTTCTGATTTTTTTGCTCGGACAATCCTTTAGAAATTGGAAGGAACTACAGCGATAATGAGACTTTCCCTGCGATTTAATGTTCCTCAAGCAAAACATTATGCAGCCCTACGTTGGTATTTGGCATCCACAAGAGAGAATTCTCAAAAATTCCAATAATATTTGTTTGTTCATTTACTGAAAATTTATTTCTAGTCGTATTTTTTCCTTAATTGATAGATTGAAGGGGCGTTTTAATTGGGCGGTTTTTAAAATAGAAATTTTGTAAAACAAAGATGGCATGAATGTTGATAATTTCATTTTCAACTAGCCCATCTAGTTGAATTTATTCAGGAGCCTCAGACATGGTCGCTATTTATACTACAGGGTGGCCTACTAAAAGTCAGCTATAAAAGTAAAACAAGGATAGTCGGTTACTGTTTAAGTCTTAGAAAACAAAAAAAGTTTATTAATTTTTTTCAATTTGGTGTCGTTTTTTTTTCTGCACGTTGTGATAAAAGACCCGAACGAAAAAATAGAACAGCATTTTTTAAAAATTAGTTTTCAAGTTTCTGATGCGCAAAATTGCTTTCAAAAATTACTTTAGTTGAGTAAAACTAAGTTTTCACGGCCTAAATTAAGCTTAAGTAAGCTATTGTAAGCCTACACGGTCACCTTATTAGCTAGAAATTAGACCAAAAATCAAATATTTCCAACCGGTTTTTCTCGACACCGTGAAAAAATTTTCAAAATTGTTTTATGTCATTCAAATCACGACTGAAAGTGCCTTAATATGATATACCACTCGACCCATTACGATGATTGTTTGTGGTACCCGATTTTGCGTGGAAAAAAAGAAAAAAAATAACACACCCGAATATACCCATTTCTGATGGTCGGAACAAAAAATACTGGCAGCTAAAAAATGTTTCAAGTTTTCAAGAGTAATGAATGTAGTGAAGACTGTCATATAGGTCTTGGTGATTTTTTTGAGTAACTTTTTTTTTCAGGAAACCGTCTAAAAATTTGTTTTTGCTGTTTGATTTTTCGCGGTTTGATTTTTGATTTTATAACTTCATTTCCATTGTTAAAAGGAAGTCAAACTCCACTATCGAAAAGCAAAATGGTAAATGTCACGAAAAACTTGATCAACTTCTAGTTTTGATTGTAGATTCGAAAGTAGATTTTGATGTTCAGATATCGCAGCGGCTTTAAAAGTTTACCTATTGATCAAGTTTTCTCAACTTGGGTTAGTTTTATAAAAATTCACATATTATAAATTGTTCTTGAAATTTAAAGAGTAATGAATGTAGTGAAGACTGTCATTTGCTGTTTGATTTCAGAGTCTAAGCCGATACACGATGGTGTACAAATCTATCTATTATATATTTAAATGCAGGCTTGACATCTCGCCATGTTTAAGCTTTTTCATCGTATTATTTTTGCATGTTTAATGAAAGAGTTTTTGCACGTTTAAGCTACATGGCATATTGCAATGGTTAAGATTTTTTTTTTCAATTTTCCAATTTGAATTTAGTGATTATTTCACCGCATTTAAAATAAGCAGCTCAATAGTGGGCTGCTGTTAGGATTCCAAAAAGGGGTTGCGAATTTGGCCTCCATTTATGAATGCCCAAATCATTATAGCGTACGAGATATGACGATTTTTCTGATTTTTTTTTGAAGAAAACTTTCAGAAAACGCGAATTACAACATAATTAAAAAAACCTGTGTAGTTGGGTGCATTCAGAGTATTTTCAAGGGTTGTGAATCTTGCCCATAAATCTGCTCAAAATCCTTATAGTTTTCGAGATATGACGTTTTTCTGATTTTTTTCAAAAAAGTTTCAAAAAACTTGAAACTCCTCACCCTGTAGTTGAGTGCTGTCATTGTACTCTTAGTGGTTGCGAATCTTGCGTCCAAATGCGACTGCTTAAATGCTTTTAGTTTCCGAGAGGTGACGTCTTTTTTATTTTAAAAAAATGTGCATAGAGGTTACTTAAAAAATTCACAAAATTTGAAACTCATTTTGATGGAGACATGCTTTCTGTCAGCTTATACACAGGCGTCACGAATCTTGCCTCTAATTATGAATGCTCAATTTCTTTTAGTTTCCGAGATACGACGTTTTTTTATGATTTTTTCGGGAAACTTAGGTTGAAAAAAATTCAAAAAATTTGAAATTCCCAACCCTATAGTTTGATGCTCTAATATTACTCTCAGTTGTTGCAAATCTAGCCTCCAAATTTCTCCAGTTTTTGAAATGAAGCTTTTATGGTTGTTCAAAACTGGAATATACATTGTTTTAATAAATTTTGAGTTTACCAACCCTGTCAGAGTTCATTAAAAGGCTGCAAATCTTGTTTCCAATATATGCGTTTTTTCATGAGTTGTCGATAAATCGAAGCACGGGAGGTGCGTTGCACACTAGTAGATTTTTAAAAGCAGATGAACTTTTTTTTTTGAAAACCCAACTATATTTAAAAAAAAAACAAATATAACAATTCTTTAAAACAAGAACAACGAAATTATATATTAAGAGAAAAAGGGCTCTCAGTTGCTGGAACAAAAGTCCGCACAAACCGACGAAAAAAAGTAACGCAAAAAATTATGCAGTTGAAGAAACCTCTTTTTTTTCTTCTAACAGCAGAGTTTCGTGAGTACAAAACCAAAAACTCAACAAAAAGTTACACTGTATAAAGTTGAATCATAACAAAGAACCAAATACAAAAAGAAAAATACTACTAGAAGAGGAACTGTCATTACTATGTAGTCAAAGTGACACGAAATTGAGCACTTTTAATGTGATCTGTGTTTTCTGATCTGATAGCAATTGCAGCTATAAACATCAGTATGTTCCTCAAAACCGTTATTGTTGCTAGAATTGTAGGCCGCATAGCTCTTAATCCAAAATAAAAAAAACTTAAAAATAAATGACCGAAAAAAAACTAAAATAAAAAACATAAAATTTGGCATAGAATCTTGACTTCAATTATGTTCACTGAAAGGGATATGAAAAATATAGCATGTCACTCAAAAAGCAGCGAGTAAAATTTCAAGCAAATGTTTTTTTTTGGTTTTTGAAAAAGTATCCGATAAGTTGAATATAAGTTTTCACAAACTTATCTATACGCTTGCCATTAGCAAGCCTTATGAAACCGGAATATACATTTTTTGCGGGTTCACAACTAGTTTAACAGAATCACTTGAATAATTTTACCTTTGTCAGACGTTGAAATCAAAACTCAGACGTTAGTTCGCGAAGAGTTTACGCAGAGTTAAATTGGCGAAGAGATAACGCACCTGCCAATAAAGTCAATGGTTCGAATCCGGCCAGGACCTGGTTTTTTTCGTAAGCGGAAAACTGTCCGCGTGTCAAAAAATCTTTGTCGGACTTCTGTGTGTCTGCTTTATTTATCGGCTTAGTTGGCGCAGCTCCAAAGTTGTCTTCTAAAATTTGGGCGTTTTGTATTCAAATTTAAAAGAATTCAGTGTATTCGGGTTCTGGGCGTTCCAAGATGTTCTGCCTATTTTTTTTGCTTTTTAAAAAAAATGTTCATGCTCTTCATTTAAAAATTTTGGAAGATGTTTTCTTTATGAATTCGAGGAGTGTTCTATGCATTAAGTGCAGTGGTAACATTTATGTTTAAGACGGCAAATCTCGGAACTTCGATTCCAGTCGGGACCTGATTTCTTTGTCGAAACTGAAAGTGTTTTTGACTTTCGTATCTAATTTTTGTCGGCTTAGGTACCCCAGAAAGCTTCGGTTTTTTTTAGTCTTATGAATGCTCTTTGTAAAACTCCTACTGGTGCAGATAGTTTTGTTTCTGGTCTTTTTTGTCCTTTTTTTCAATTTTGGCTTGATCTTTTTATTTGCTGGTATTTATAGTCAAACATTTTTGTATCGCAAGTGATGAGAAGCTCCGCTTCGCCTCTGTGTTACATTTGAATCAATTTCAATTAAAACAGACTAGAAACTAGTAAAAACATAAGTGAAATACGACGATAGAAATAAGGCCGACCTCCATTAGCTGAAAAAAGCCTAAACTGAAAAAAGCCTAAACTTCAAGATCTAACATGAACCAACTACTCAGCGTTCATCTGAGTGGTTGGTTCATGGTTGGTTCTCTACTCAGGTCGACGAACAACCTCTTTATAAGTGAGGGCGCATACATCTAAGATGTAGGTTGTACTTTAGTAGTTTACCATTTTAAGTTCCTTGAGTGATAATTGACCATTCTGTGAACAAAGTTATTTGCGGTAAAAAAAAGTCCTGGCTGCAATGCCCTTGGTTATCGTAAGGGTAATAAGTAAAACTATTCAAAATCAGATTTGATAATTTTACAAATTACAGAAC